AGTGCTGTAATTCTTAGAACAAAACCAAACCAAACCAACGAGACAAAGGTCCCTAATCTTTTGCGGATCTTAAGTCAGGATTCCACGTGACGCTAGAGTCAAAAAATCAGTAGACAGATGCCAGGGACCAACTGCTTCATTGTTATTTCAAGCAGATAGGTACTTTAATAAACTCTTAGGCTTTTAACTCTTAATTAATCAGGTGCTCCTTGAAATCAGGACATTTTAAGGGTTTTACTTTATCAAAAGAATGTGATCATTTATTTCTGCTTTCAAAGAAAAAGCAAATCCAAATTCTCCATATAGGAGAAAGAACTCTCCACGCCATCCTTCCAACTCCCTAAACCACCTCGTGGTCTGTCAGAAACTACTGTGCACTACAAGCACAGAAAGACACATAGCCTCTGGGTCTTGTGTATTTTAGAGAACTCTGGTGTTTATAGTACCATTCACAAACCCTTTCTCAGTTGGCCTTGAGGCTTGCTGATTAGCCAGTAAACGTCTGAAAGGGTCAGTTTATCCAGAACAGGAATTTCCACTTTGGAAAAAGCACAGAGGTACCTGACATCTGTGCCTTGAAAGGCCTGCCCTACACCCCTGAACTCAGGGCTGAAATTCCTACTTCTGCTTGATGGCAGGGAGGGCCAAGCTGTAAAATCCCAGGGGCTACTCCAGTCTGAAGAAGAGAGGAGGGTCCCCAAGGACCTCTGCTTTTTGGCTCCTACAGCACAGTATCCAAAAGATGAACCTAGCTTTAAAAGAATATGAATATATTCTTCTAGGAAAAATAGTTGACAAATATCCAATTGAACCTCTAATCTCAACCCAGAATTCTAACCACTTAGAATTAAATAACTTTAATGTTCAAACAGCTCCCTTATCTTTGAGGATCCTGGAGCCCAGAGAGATGAACTGATTTACTGGAGGTGGCTCAGCTTCTGAGCTAGCTTACTTCAGAGTTCTTTCCACTCTAATCTGCTGTTATCTCAACTGTCTATCTTGCCATCACTTAACTGCGCCCTAGATCAACAGCTCCATGGCGCTAGGAAAGACAGCAAAGTTCCAGTGCCCACACAGCCCAGCACATAAAGCATGCTCCAACTGGGAGGCTGACTGGCAGTAGAGATACTACCTTTCCAAACCATCAAGTGACTTAGTTGATGAAAACGACATCCCAAACGGTTGCTTTACCTTCAACTACACCTCACAGTATAAACTGGCAGTCACCCACCACTCTCCAAAACCCGCCCCTTACAGGAAGTGGGAATGGCATGTCTGAGTTATAAATAATCATTTATAACTGCGTTTCTAGTGTGAATATGTACTAGAGTATTTTAATGGTTGCTTTATTCAAAGATACTTTAAGTAACTGCTTCATTTAGAGGCACAGTATTCCTGGACGCTGTGCCGTCTAAAACCCACACATTCAACGGAGGGTTGAGCCGACTCTTTTGTTCTGCGAACTCTGAAGTTTTCAGCGTTACTGCGCAGCAGGGAGTGTTAGGTAGCTGGCCCTGTCACAGGCTTTACGGTTAGGTGGAAACTTTCCTGAAAAGCGTCAAGAAAGTTAAGCTTCTAACAGTGAAATCAAATCCGATTCAGCTTATCTGCTACTTTGAAAAACTCCCCCCTGCCCCAACCCAGACCTGCGTGAGCCCAAGTTAGTCTCCAAGTGGTACCAGAGAAACACTTCATGCATAGACTTTGGTTTGGTTACCTGGGTGGGGGAAACAATAGCAGGTGAAACTATTGTGGGAGAATTGCTGCTTCTGTGCCCATTGGCTTCAGGAAGAAGAGGCAGGGGGTCGTGTTTCACCGAAACCACCACCACCGCGTCCACAGGCTCCGAGGGGCGAATACAAAGTCTTTTAGGGGAAGAGGGGCCGCACATCTCCCCTGACCCGAACACCGACTCGTACAGGGCGCGCTTGGGCGCAGCCTCCGATTTCACGTCGGGCCCGACCTGGCTGTCTCTGGGGAGGATATAGGTGTTCCCCAGCGAGGGCGGCTGGGGGCGGTGGTGGTGGGAGGGATGGGTGGGGGGATGGTGAGAGTGGTGGCGAGCCGCCCCGTTCAGAGCCTCGGCGTAGCAGCCCTGCGGGGCGGACGAGCCCAGTTTGGTACCGATGCCGGCGATGCTGTTGAGCGTGGCGATGGAGACGGCGCCGATGCAGTGGTTGGTGTAGGTCTTGGAGAGTTTGGCCGCCTTGGAGAGCATCTGCATCCTGGTGCCCAGCAAGTTCTTGCCGATGGCTTTGTTCTCGTACCAGGTCACATCGCCCTCGCTGCAGTGGTCCCGGGGCCGCTGGAAGAACGCCTTGCACAGAGGGTTGCGCTTCGACAGGTACTTGACAAAGCTGGCGTAGGGGCAGAACTCGGTGCCCGTCTCGTACATGCGCGGCAAGTTCTCCTCGTCGCTGCTCTCGGCGCGCTTCTTGCTCCACGACGACGAGCGCGACTTGTGGTAGGGCCCGAGGGACTTGAAGTAGACGAACTTGCGGCCGTCCTCGTCCATAGCCAGCCCGAAGGAGTCCTCCTCCAGCTCGCGCTGGTTCTCGCGGCCGCGCGTGCAGAAGTACATGCACGTCTCGAACCAGACCTTGTTGAGCAGCCCGAAGGGCGTGTTGGTGCTGAAGACGCTGGAGGTGTAGAGCTTGCGCAGGTCTGCACGCGTGATGGCTTGCTTCTGCACCACCGGCCCCGCGCCCTGCTCCTCGAGCTTGCGGATGACCGCGGCCAGCGTCAGGTTGGCGCTGCGTAGCTCCGGGTCCTTGGTGAGGTCGAGCGTACGGCAGTAGGGGGGCTCGTTGAGGTAGCGGTTGAGGGAGCTGCGGATGCTGATGAGCGACGACTTGCTGTAGAGCTGGCCGCTCTTGGAGCGGGCCTCGGCGTAGAAGGAGCGCAGCACGCGGCACAGCGCCCCCTTGTCCATGGTCTCGAAGTCCGGGCTCTGCGCCTTCTCGCTCAGGTATTCCCGGAAGATGCGCACGGCGTAGCGGGTGGCCAGCCGGGTGTTCTCGCTCAGCCGGGCCCGCTCGGGGCGCTGCAGCACGTCGGGGTCCAGCTCGGCGCCGGCCCCGGGCGGCCCGCCGCGGGCCCGGGGCGCCAACAGTCGCGGCGGCGCCTCGGGCTCCAGCGCGGCGCTCTGGTCCATATTGATCCTATGGACCGGCTCGGGTTCCAGCTCCTCCCCGGCCGAGTCCTCGGGCTCCAGGGGCTCGTCCCAGTCCAGCCCCATCTCCTCCTCCTCCTCCTCCTCGTCCTCCTCCAGCCCCCCACCTCCGTCCTCCTCCTCCTCGTCCCCCGTTATCTGCACCTCCTGGATCTCGTCCTCCTCCTCGTCCTCCTCCTCCTCCTCGCCCGCGCTGCAGTAGTGCGGGCGGCCGTGGCGGCGGCCGCGGCCCCCCACCCCGCGCTCGCCCTCGCCCCGCTCCCCATTGTTCTCGGCGGCGGCGGCGGCGGCGCTGCCGCCCGCGCTGGTGTTACAGTCCCCGCTGCCAGGCATTCTCGCCATATTGCCGTCTCTCTGCCAGTCCTCGGGCAGGGCGCATGCGCTATATTGGACCGCAGCGCTGAGAGCTTTTGTGTTTAATGACCTTCAGCTACCGGGAGGCAAAGCCGGGCTCTTAAAGGAGCCGCGCGCCAATTGTCAGTTCGGAGCGCGGCTCCGGAGGGGCAGCGGCGCGCGGGGGATGGAGGGGTAAGGAGGCGGGGGTACGTTAGACAGGCAGAGCGTAAGGACCGAGACTGGCTGGACCCTCTTCCTCCCCCACCCCTCTCCCCACTCCGAAGAAAACTTCGGAGGGGGAAAAAAAAAAGGAAGGGGAGGGAGAGCTGTCGGTGGGGGTGAAACACTCCCAACTTACCCTCTGGCTGAGTGGCGCTCGGGCCCGGGCGGGAGCGAGGGAGGGCCGACTGGGAGGGCGGGGCGGTCTCGCTTCTCTAAGTAATGCCCGAGGAGCAGTGCCCCTTCCACCGCCCCCTCATTGCCCCCCGGAGCCGGGGGTTCGGGGAGGCGGCTGCACCGGGCGGGCCGCGGATGCTGCTTCGAGAAGCCCGTATCTGGGGCCGCCTGGAGCGGAGCGGAGCAGGCAGGTTAATGAGCAGGGTGGAGGAGGCACGACGAGGCCCCGCACCCTCTCTGCGCCCGCGGCCAGGGCGCAGCGGGCGAGGCTTGGGAGCGGGATGGGGCTGGCGGCAGCGGCGGCTCCCCCACCTACTTGCTGGGGGCGAGGCGCGGGGGCCTGGGGCCAGCCGCAAGGCTCCCAGCTCTCTTTCCGACTCTTGCAAAGGAGCGAAACACGCCCCACGTCAGCCTCATCGCTTTCGACTTTTCCAACAGCCACTTTTAAGCTGTCATTAAAGACCTGGGGCGCTCCCCGTAGGTCTGGGGCAAGTCCGCGCCGGTCCAGCCAGCCTGGGGAAGGAGCGAAGGCAGAAAGACTGGGAGGGGCGGGTGGGAGGGGAGACGCGGGGGAGAGGCGCTCGGGACCCCAGGGACCCCTCCCCACCCGCCCAGGCCGCCGCCCTCCTGCCTCGAAGCAAACTGACACAACTCCCGCCGGCGAGGCGCTCCACCAGGTCGGAGCGGGCAAGGCCGGTCCCTAAGACCCTGGGGGCAGGTAGGCGGGAAAAAAGTGAACTTGGGTCTCGGCCGCCCCCGCCGCCGCCACGATTCCGGCAATTCGGATCCTGGGCGCGCTCTGGTTCCAAGTTTGCCAACCGCCATTCGTTCGCCCTCGGGGCTGTGCTGCCTTCGGCGCGCGGGGGCGGGCACCTCCGAAACTGGAAAGGCGGCCAGAGAGCTCGCCGGGTCCCGCTTTCCCATCGGAGACAGTGTCCCATTTCCAGCCAAAAGCCCGCCCACGGCGCGCCCAGGCTCCGGGCACGTCCTTGTCACCGCCTCCAGGACTCCGGGCCCAGGGGCAGCGCCCCCAGACCCACCGAGACCTCGGCTCATTTCTTTGGAGGCACAGCCCCGGCCGTCTCCAGATTTTGGAATGTCTTCTAACTTTCTCCTCTTCGGGGAGCCCGAGTGTGTCCCCCTAGCGCGCTGGTCAACTCCGAGTCCCAGGCCGGCCCGCGGGTGAGGCTGCCTCTCCAGCCCTTCGTGTGCGTCCTCGGATCTCAGTCCGAATTCTCAGCACTTGGGCTGCGAGGGTCTACTCAATTGCTAGTCCCCTGCGACAGCCCCCCCAACCCCCTCACCAGGCCCTCTGTCTTGCTTTCAGGGCAGTGTATAATCTTGCGCATCAAAAGTAACCCATGCGTCAATTTGTAATTTTTTAAAAAAAGAAGAAAAGAGGAAGGAAGGAAGACTAGGTCTCTGGGCCGCATGGGCGTCTAAACTGGGAGTTGACACTGTCTCCCCAGCGACCAGCCTCGCCCTCCGCGCGCCTCCTCGGCCCTGGACGCGGCCGCCGAGCTTTGGGGAAACCGCGCCAGGTGTGAACAAGTTAGAGCAAGTCACTGCCTCACGGGCCCCCTCCCGCTCCTCGGGGAAACACACACACACACACACACCCCACTCTCCGCTTCTCGGCGAAACACACACACACCACACTCTCATCAGCCCTCCTCTCTGCAGAGAACCGTCTGGGGAGTGGGGGGAGAGCTGGAATCCGGAGGTGGCACTCCTCGGGAATCTTCCCCGAGGTGCGGCCGGCTGTGTCCAAACCCCACTGTGCTGGGGATGTGTAGAAAGGAGCCCAAGGCAGCAGGCCGCGAAGCTAGTCGCACCCGCGGACCCGCGCACACGACCTGGCACACATCAGCCGCACCGGCTACTTCCGGAGGGCTGGCCCTTTGTCCCGGGATGCTCCCAGGTTTTGAGGCATCCGGAGCCCTCCGGCCGGGCATTTCAGCCCTGCGGAGAATTCTGGTGGGCCCCGGGCAAGTTCCCCGCCAGGGGCTGCTCCCCGCCCGGCGGCCCTCACCGCCGTCTCAGTGAACCCAGGGGCCGCGTTGGCTCGGGGCTGCGCTCCGGGCTCGGCCCGGGGACTAGGACCCACACTCCAGGAGCCGAGCAGCTTCCCAAGGTCTCCCCACTTCTGCGGGCGGCAGGGGTGCCCCCCGCTCCCTCCGCCTCGGCTCCCCTCCCCGCTGGGCTAGCTGCTTTGAATTGCTCGCAGTTTGCCGAAGGCGGTGTGCTGAGTTGGACGCTCCGGGAAACAAAGCAACCAAAACCAGCTCCCAGTTGACGTCAACTTATTTCCAGAAAAGAAAATAGTTTTGTGCTCCCAGGACAAAATCCCCCCAGGGCAGGTCTCTACTGGCAAAAGCCAGGGGGCGGGGGTGGGGAAGAGCAGAACCAAAAAAACCCCAAGCGCAAAGAACTTTTTAACGGAGTTGGAAAAGCAGCAGCTTTCGAGGCTGCCTGGATATTTTGCAAACAACGGGCAGGACCCCCGCTAATATTAGATACGAAAAAACGCACCTTGAAAAGTACGCCTTGGCCTGATTATCGGGCGACTGGGAATCGGCTTCGTGGCATCGGCTCCTGAAACGCTACCAAAATTCTTTGCCCATAGAGATACTTCATCAAATATTGAAAAAGACCTCTTCAGGATAATAGAGTATTTACCAGGACGAGCACCCAGGAAAACCACGCAGTTATAAACCTGTTCGCCAAGGACACCCTCCCCTGCCCACCCCAAACACATAAACACGGACACCTTCCCCAAATGTTGCTTAATTTTTAAAACCCAATAACACAGAATTACAGCTGAGTTCATAAAGGAGTTCAATTCTAGCTTTAATAAATGATTCCTTAAAAACATCCTGTGGTTCACACACACTCAATTCCAAATTGAGAGGATCAAAAGACCTTTCTTCTTATTATTTTGGTAGCGAAGCAATATTGGTTATCTTCTGCCTATGAGCCCAGCCTCCCTTCCTCCCCTTTGATTTTGCCCTACCATGAAGTCCATTTAGCTCACCACTTGAAACTGACAGCTGCCTCTCCTTCCTTGTAAAGATGGTTATTTCTTGTGCAGGATAGCTTCTGCACATAGAAAACATACAACTTTTTCATGTAAAAGTTCCAGCACTGTATAGAGCATTTATTGCAATTATTTAACTGTCAGCTACCCTAAGAGGTTTACAACTTCAACAGGATACTCCACATTTTCTGTCTCTTCATTATCATTATAAAGTATCACATATATATTTGTGCTTCTCCATTTCTTAGATTACTTGAAAGTAGTGGCATAGTTATTTTTGAAGGAAAAATTCCAAACGTTTTCCCTTCATTTTCTAACCCACCTACTTACTCCCATTCAGTCCATACTTTGTGAGTTTGTGCCATAAAGAAACATATTTAACTCTTTGATTGCAGTCTTCTGACCTTTTCTGTTATATAATAATGTAGTTGGTTTTTACATGTTTCCTCTCCTATATCAATATACCTTTGTTGTTTAGGCTGGTGCTTGGGACACAGTCAGCACTCCAGTTATTTACAGTGAATGAATGAATAGGATCTGTGTTTAGTTAGCCTCTGTGTTAAGGAATAAACATTTTGGGGAAAAATCTGAAATATCATGAGTCTGAATTTCTATATTAAAAATTTTTTGTAGGATGAAAAATTACTATAAGACATCATTACTGTTTGCAGTAATATTTACAAGTTAAAGTGAACATAATGACTGCTTTGGTTTAATATTTCCTTGCAATTAATTCCCGCTCTAGTGGACCACATTATAGGAAGTTATTGCAGGAGTAAGGGACTGGGGAATGCAGGTAGCTATTTGTCAAGAGACATGAGCTGGGGAGGATTTAAATGGATAAATTCAAGAAATGTTGTGTTTTCTTGAGGGCGGAGGTCATAAAAAGAAATCAGTTCATCATCGATGGGAAAGATTGAAGGCAGGAGAAGGGGACAACAGAGGATGAGATGGTTGGATGGCATCACCGACTTGATGGACTTGAGTTTGAGCAAGCTCCAGGAGTTGGTGCTGGACAGGGAAGCCTGGCGGGCTACAGTCCATGGGGTTGCAAAGAGTTAGTGACTACTGAGCGACTGAACAGTCATTTTTTATTTCATCACTGTTTTTAGTTCCTCGTTTTAAAGTCATGCTTTCTTGATTTGATTACTAAAAGATTTATAAAGCAGTCTGGAGGTTAAATGTGAATTCAAATCAAAACTATTTTGACATATCTTTGTTTCAGAGTTTTACTACTGAATTCTGCTGAATTTAATTGAAGATCATCTTGAGTAATGTTTTTTCAAACTCAGATGAAAATAGAGTCCATGTAATCTAACTCTATGAGGTGGAAGAAAACTCTAAGAGCAGAAACTGTGTCCTTTATCACCTCATCTCTGGTTCATTTCCAGTACAGTTCCTTAGTGTATTTTAGCAGAGTGGCTGGTACATAGTAGACACTCAATAAACATACAAACATTTATGTGTGCGGTGAAAGCTAACCACCACAAAAGTTCACAGAGCAGTTGTTGTTCAATTGCTAAGCCATGTCTGATTCTTTGTGACCCCACAGACTACGGCACACCAGGCTTCTCTGTCCTTCACTATCTCCCACAGTTTGCTCAAACTCAGGTCCATTGAGTCGGTGATGCCATCCAACCATCTCATCCTTTGCTGTCCCCTTCTCCTCCTGCCCTCAATCTTTCCCAGCATCAGGGTCTTTTCTGATGAGTTGGCCCTTCACATCAGGTGGCCAAAGTATTAGAACTTCAATATCAGTCCTTCCAATGAATATTCAGAGTTGATTTCCTTTAGGATTGTCTGGTGTGATCTCCTTGCAGTCCAAGGGACTCTCAAGAGTCTTCTCCAGCACCACAGTTCGAAAGCATCAGTTCTTTGGTGCTGAGCCTTCTTAATGGTCCAACCCTCACATCTGTACATGACTACTGGAAACACTATAGCTTTGATTATACAGACGATTGTCAGAAAAGTGATTCATTTTGAAATGAAAACATTCAACTGTTAGCTCTTAGATACTAAGACTCTAGTATTTCCAGGCTTGAATATAAACAAGAAAACCAGGGCCAGAAGGGCTCCCAAAGATTAAGCCACTTGCCCAAGCTCTCTGAGACCTCTGTAGGTCAGGAAACTTTGGCTCTGTAGCCCAATCTTAAGTGGCTTGCCACAATCAGCTTCTAGGAACCAAAGAATGAAAATAGAAAATAAGTCTTCAAGGGAACAATTCCCTATCACTAAAATACTTCTCTGTGTCATCCGATTTGGGAATCTTGGAGAGTTAGAATAGGACTACACCAAGACATTGGACTGTGAGCACAGCAGAAATAGCCTAAAAAGCTGTTACCTTTATCACTTGGCACCTAAAACACTGGAATTATTTTCCAGGGCTGTTGGAAGTAGAGACCCATTTGTGTCTTAGAAGAAATAATGGTGAAGATTTTAGAGACAAAAGGAATGCCCACAAACCCAATCAGACTAGGATTAGGTGTTTTCTGTTGAAATCCTAGGTTGTCCTGCATTACTCTCTAAGGAGTAAAAAGGATTTTACCTATTTTTATCTTTGATGTTTTGTCAAAAAAAGAAAAAAAAAATAGGTCAGAGTGAACTTACTACAGTGATTCACAGGAGTAGAATTTTTCGTTTCTAATTGCCACCTGGTAACTAATTCTTGATCTTTCTACCTAAGAATCACCTACCAGTCTCCTAGGCTGTTTGTAAAACAAGAATATCTTAAAGGAATGTAGCTTTCCATAAAAGAATTGTGTTTTTGTAGAGCCTGAAAGTGTGCTATTTCTCTGTTATAATATTCTGATAATGAAACTCCTCCTGGCTAATAATGAAGTCAAATGTAAAGGCTGTCAAAGTCAAACATAAAATTAATAATGATAGTAATTTCTTTTCTAGTCATTTATATTTAAAGAGCTTGTAGGATTGAAGTGGATGTTAGTCCTATTATTAAATAACATTTATTTCAATACCATTACAATACTAATTAAAGTGGAAAAGGAGATTAAGATATGTGTTAATGTCACATAACTAATATATATATCTTACATGTGCTAAGTCACTTCAGTTGCGTTGCGGTCTTTGTGACCGCATGGACTGTAGCCTGCCAGGCTCCTCTGTCTATGGGATTCTCCACGCAAGAATACTGGATTGCCATGGATTTCCATGCCTTCCTCCATGCCTTACATAATGGAAAAGCTATTATAGTTGTCTCAGAAGATAAAATATTCATGAAACTATTAGCTATAGGCCCCAAAAAGTAACTTATTAAATTAGTAAAAGCAAAACAAAACAAACAACAAAAATGTCATCACTTTATCCCCAAATGTTGGTATGAAAATGTTATTCTCGTATATTTTATTGTCAATATCAATTAAGATAGCCTTTTAAGAAAGCAAGTAGGCAACCTCTCAAATGCCACAAAAATGTTCACATTCTATGACCCAGAAATTGCTTCCAGAAATTCATCTTCATAAGAAATATCTAATTGTATTTGTATTTTGGTAAAGTTTGGTTTATTTCATCTGAACCATTTGGAAAAATGAGTTTTGCAAGATATGTCATCAAGTGTGCTCTGGAACTACATTTCATTGTCTTGGATGCTTGAACTTTGTTTACAGACATTTAGAGAATATTAGTTGAATGAAAGAAGGAAGAAGTTCAGTTAGGCTAGAATCCTGTCTTCTCATGTTCTACAGCAATGCCAAGCACCCTTTGACAAATATCAGTAATTTGTCAGAAGGTGAAGATAAAGTATATGAACTAACATGGCAAAGCAAGATACATTTTAACACTGGTATTGCAATATCTTCAGGACTTGGAGAAAGTTTAAGGACCAGATTTTGAAGCTCTAGATAGTCTAGTATCTAGGTATGTGGTGGCAATTCACAGGACGTGCAGAGGAGTAGGTATGTGCCTGCCCCGTGGCTGTTTCTAAATGAACTAAAAAAGAAAGAAAAAAAAAAATCCCCTTTTAAATACCCAGAAGCACTAACCCACATTTTGAACTAATTGACTTACTTTTTCTTAGGAAAGCTTAATTTAACCAATAGGGGCACATGGGTTTATCTGAATATTTAAAGAAGCCCTGGGATGGGCTTGTTCTATTTCTTTAATTTGTTGCTGGAGATCCAGGCTTTTGCACTTGATGAAGAAGACTGCCTTGGAGAGGGGTGGGAAAGCTGGAAACTGTGTGACCTAACTCCTCTATTTTGGGATCTAAGTTTGTAGAGTCAGGGTACCTGGAGATACTAGTA